CCGGACCTTGAGTTAGTTGTGGGCTGATAGGCATTGTGGGGGATATGGGAGGTTTCCGATACTAAGGGGGCTACCTTACGGGGTCCTTTTTTTGAGGGGATCCACTGTTTGGGAGTCTATATTGGGGGTCCTCTATTGAAATCTCCGGATCCTGTGTCTGTAGGATTCAGAGTGTTGGGGAAAGAGCTTGGGTTGAGGTTGAGGGTATGATGCACCGAAGCAGACCAGCAGGAAGCTGTGCCATGTGTAGCTTGTATTGTAGGTGTTTTGGTTGTCTAGAGACAGAGTCCTATTTGCTGATGTCATAGGCTCAAGATCAATCCACAAAACACATGGTCCAATGACAAGTTCCTAAGCCTTTAAACTTAGCAGTTGTCAACTAGAAAAGATATGGTGTCCTTATCCTGTGTTTCACTTCGTTCACCCTTCATGTCCTGATTTGGTAATGTTTGTGCAGCAAGGGATCCAAGATTGAAAGCCTTCTAAATCACGGGACAATAAACGACAGGAATTGGAGAAGTTATGGAACGCAATAGAAACCTCTAAGCCCTGCTTGTGAAAGCTACAGCCAAGCACTCCAAGTTCTGAATGCCGCAAAGCGTCGACTAGTGCTGTGAAGGTTTTAGCCTCGAGAGTAGCGCGCACGTTTTCCCAGGCTCTGCTCTCAGCTGGGGATCTGCATGTCTAGTTCCGACTAGTTCCCAGTGAATGCTGAGAGAAGGCTGAAGGGGTTGGGGGTTAGGCCCAGGCTGGCCATTCGAAGGATTCTTGTCGGACTTTGCACTTCGTTGTTTGCAGCTCGCATGAAGGGCGCATGGTAGGGGCTGCTTTCCTTCATGTGCGTTCTTGGAACAGGTTTACACTTCGTGGTTTATCAAAGGCAAGACCCACGAGTATCCCAAGCCCTCAGTCGCCATGAGTCGCCCTGAGCTCTTGGTTTAGGCTTTAGGGTTCAGGGTTTAGGGCAGCCTAGAAAGCCCGGAGCCCCCAAACCCCTTCACTGTGCTGCAAGACGGTGCCCCTTCGCGGACAGCAGCGAAAGGCTGACGGCTTGGGGGGATGCTTGGGGTTTCAAGCTCCTGTGGCTCGTTCAGCGCTTGAGGCTCAGGTTTCTCGGGTCAGCAGTTGCGACGCAGGAATTGCAGATTAGCCGTGGTCCTTTCTTCGATGGGCAGCTGGTGGTCTAAATGGAGGTTTGCTTCAAACTTTTTTGCATTCGGGGGGTCTTCCAATGAGCAACGAGTGCCAATGAGCATGGGCTGAGAATCCCAAAACCCATTCAGACCCCTTCCCCAACATCCTTTCAAGCTCCCGCAGCGCAGGCCATCAACACCCTTACGTGCAGCCTCCACGAAGCACCAAGTTTCCTGAACCTGCAAAGCTCCAAGGCCCCGAAGGCCCCGAAGGCCCCGCAAGGCCCCGCAAGGCCCCGATGAAGGCCGCAAACCCTGTGCCTCCTTTCCGATGCCAGGCAGCGCAGACAACAGCCGTGGCTCCAGGGGGCTTTGGAAGCTCCCTGAGGCGGGGAATTGGGTCGTGACACTGCGTTAAGGACCGAAACCTTGATGGCCTTTCAAAATACCCAACAGAGCTCCCGTGCTGCGAGGTCCTCCGGCAGCTCTTTTGCTTCTGGAAGCTCCAGCTTTCTGGGTGTCTCGGCGGCAGGGAGTTTGGGGTTACTCCCTCCCCCGCCGCGACCCCTCCCCCCTAACACCGGCTTGTAAGGGCCAGCCGGGATTCGGGGATCGAACTTATGCGGGTTGAGGGCTTCGCAGTGCTTGAAGGTTTTTGATTTGAAGGTCAAAGGGTTTTCGCAGCTTTTAGAGCATCTTTCCTGGCATCGGCTCTTTGTGCCATTCAAGTCTTGTGCGGTTTGTCCTCCGCAGCAACCTAAAGAGAGCCCTCAGCGCGAAGTTGAAGATGATTCCCGAATTTTTTAGCCAACGCTCCGCTGGAAACTGCTTGGAGAGCAAGCTCTTAGTTCCTTTACTCTTGTACGCTTTGCTTTGCTCTACTATTTTGTGCTGTGCTAGCCCATGCTAGCCCATGCTAGCTTATGCTAGCCCATGCTAGCCCATGCCAGCCTATGCCAGGCTATGCCAGGCTATGCGAGGCTAAGCTAGGCTATGCTAGGCTATGTATGCTATGGGGCGTGGGAACCTGGAGATTGCATGTGCGCCCGAAAGGGGTTTCGGGTATGTTGCAGGCTTGGGTGCTCAGAGCTTGGAGACTCTGTCTGTGCCACTCTGCTGAGGATCCACCATAGCCGGGTCCGCCAGAAGCCAAGCCGAGGACTTTAGGTTGGCACGTTGCAAATCAGGGGAGCAAATTAGGTGGGTCCTAGCAGGTCCTAGCCATCATGGAAGAAAGGAAAGGGCGAAGTCAGAGGTTGCCACAGAGACTGCGTGGAGTTTGTAGCCCTTTCGAGTCCATTAGAGTCCCAAGGGGCCAAGTGTGACTGTGCTGCTGAACTGTGAGCCCGCGAGCAGAGAGTGCTCGACAGTGTGAAGGGTTAGGTTTCTCCCTGCTGGCCGCTGTGAACATGTACTGTAAACAAAAGCAGGCTCACATCGAGCCGACACGCCCCAAAATGCAAGATGCCAAACGTTCACTGGAGAAGTCGGGGCAAGCGACGCGCAATTTGGCTGCGAACGTGGAAAGAGTGACCCAAATCGTACGTCGTTTGGTTTTTGGAGGGCTTATTTGAGCCTGGGGGGGGGGGAGGCTCCTGAGCTCCCGAGAGGCTTTTTTTAGGGCTTCGCGGGAAACTTTCACCCTGAGAAGTCACTGGTGCCCTCGCCTTGATCTTGGAGAAGTAGGCAGAGTACTCAATGCGGGCATAGAGGGAGAGCCACTGAGTACGACAGCGACGGAAAAGTTGGGTTTCCTCGACTTGCTTCTAAACATGCTGGTTGCACTGTCGTGAAACTAGCGCGCGCTCGAATCGTGGCTATGTAACGGTTTGCTGTGGTTACGCTTCGGGCGGGCCAGTTGTGGTTATAGCACCTCCTCCTCTCAGTTTTAGGCGGTCCCAGGATCAAAATCAAATATCATATACATCTGTTATATTGTATATTGTGTATCACATGATTCAGTGTTATCTTCTCGTTCGTGTGCATGCTCATATATTCATGTATGGAATTCTAAGCGCATACGACACTTATCATATGTAATACGTTACATATGAAGATACAAACACACATATATATATATGTATGTATGTATGTATGTATGTATGTATGTATGTATGTATGTATGTATGTATGTATGTATGTATGTATGTATGTATGTATACCTCTGTCTAGAAACGCATAAATATAAACAAATACAACTACAAATATGAATCTAAATATGAATAAATACATAAGTAGGTAAATATGTATATGTGTAGTCCATGATATTTTTAAGCAATCTAGTATATATGTATATATGTATATATACACATAAAATAGTACAATATGTAATGTCAGATAATAAATGTGTAAACAGTTCAAAAAGAACAGAGATTCCGAATAGAACGGCGTTCCTCTATACTCGCAAATCCTCTATTTCCCATACCATTTGAAGTGGAAAACCTTTGTGTTGCCACTGTCAACAGAAGAAAGAGCCCAGATCCCGGATTGTTTCGTTCCAGACAGGGCCGAAGGGCGAGGCGAATGGCATCCTTTGAAGGCGACAGAAAACCACAAGAGCCCCAACGCCCAGGTCACCGCTGTTGCACCAGTGCGAAATGGCGGGGCACTGCCGGGCTCCTTGTTGCTCTCAGAGATGAGAATTCGGCTTCGGTGGAGTTTTGGATAGGGCAGGGCTTGCGTTGTGAGAAGAGGCCCAGGGATCTTTGAGTTCGGCTCCTCTGAGCCCACTCGCCGCAAAGTTTTGCTTCGGGGAGCAGCTCGAGTGTAGGCCAATGTCACTTGTACTTGAACAGGTGCCGTCGGAGCAAAACAGCGCAGAGGTCCCGAAGCAGAAGAAAAGATTCCATTAATTTGAAGCCAGAACAGTCATGTCATGAAGCTCACCAGTGTACTTCAACATCTGGCCCCAGGAATTTGAGCTACAAACCTGGACGAGCCCTAAGGTCTTCGATGAAGATGATGTTCGAGAGATTTAACGAGAAGGCGATGTCAAGCTTAGAGTGAGAGTCTGGCGAGACGGCTGCCTTTCACAGGGGTTGCCGTCGCCCGCATGTGGGGGTTGACATCTAAGCTCGCAGATGCCAATGTGTTTCAGTTCTTGTCTTTGCTACAAGAGAGCGAGCTTGTGGATGTGGCATCTTTGGTTCTGTCAATGTGTATATGTGGAAATGTGAAAATGTGGAAATGTCGTAGTTGTTTAAATGTGTAAATGTGCATGTGCACATGTGTGGGGGTGTGCTTTGCAAGACCGGACCAGGATGTACTTAGGACGTCTTAGGACCCAGGACCCTTTCCGTCTTCGAGCCTTAAAATGAAGGTTTCGTCAGCTTGGGTTGAGGTTGTTTGTTCAGCGTGTGGCTGTGGCTGGTGCAAGCTCCGTGCAGGCGATCAAGTCCGTCATGCTTGCGCAGGAGGAGTCGCGACGTTTGCGTGCGCTGCCCAGTCAGTGCGTCCTAGGTTTGATGCTCTGAGATGGAGTTGTTGAAGTTCGGCGTGTATTCAAAGTGTCAAGCAGTGCAATGCAATGTTGTACTCAGAAGAACTCTGAAAGGATTAAGACACTTGAAGGCCGTGCCTTTGTCGGAATCTGACATCAAGTGCTGATTGCAGCACGCGGCCCACAAGTCCCACAAACCTGCATACTGAAGCGTAGCTGGATCGCACTTGCCCGGAGATGGTCGATAGGTTTGCTCTGCCGATTGGACTTCTTCTCTAAACCAAAACCTGGCAAAGTACGTGTTCCGAAGCACCCGAAGCAGAACCTTCGACAAGAGGCATTTTTAACAAGAAGAACGTTTGGCTTAATACAGTTTGGCTTTATTGTATACACTACAATTTTACTACAAGCACCGTCCAAGCGGTCCC